ATGTGTCATTTCACCGGGTTCCCTCCCTGCCTCAGACTGCCACTGTCCTCCGTCTGTCTCGCTCCCCTTCCCTTGGCTATTCTCTGAGTTATCCCCCCTCCCTTATCTTCCGCTGTTCCTCCTTACGGCTCGTCTGTCACGCCCATCCCAGTTGGCGTCTAGGAGCTGAGGGTCCGAGCTCAGCATGCCTTTGGAAAAAAGGAAGGTCCCATCTCCATTCCAAATCTCTATCGAGCTCTCCCTCCCTCTCTCCCTCTCTTCCTCCCTCTCTCCCCTTCTGCCTCCCTCTCCCCCTCCTCCCTCCCTCCCTCTCTCCCCCTCCTCTCTCCCTCCCTCTCTCCCTCCCTCCCTCCCCTCCTCCCTCCCTCTCGCTCTCCCCTCCTCCCACCCACCCTCTATCCCCTCCTCCCTCCCTCTCTCCCCTCCTCCCTCCCTCCCTCCCTCCCTCTCTCCCTAATGTGGAACACATATGTTATTATTCGGCATTAGACATGTCTATCATAAACTTGACAAACACTAAACAAACAGCACAGGTGGCCTTACAGACTGGGGAGTCAGGGAGAAGCTGAGGGCCAGAGGGCCACGGTGATGTCACTCCTACGCCAGAGCATTGGAGCCCTGGGAGGCGCACTGGGAACACCAAGGAAGCCCACCCACACACACACACACACACATACATACTGTAAGTCCAAGCACAGCACAGCTGAAACCCTCTATCAGACAACTGATCTGCTCTGTTTATGCGGTAGGAATGCTAATGTCGAGAACCTGCTGACTCGTCAGAAGGTGCAGGTCTGGGGACAGTTTACAGATCAGCCATGCATGTTAACAGCAAACACTCATGTGACCTTCACCTTGTAACGTGACACTAAACCATGGCTTGGCGTCCCCGTCTTACGCGGGCTCTGGACAGGGAGTTGACACATACAACATAATGAACATCTCAGAGCTATTCAGACCAAAACACAGAGGAGAAACATGTGGGAGTAGGACCAACAGAAAAAGGGTGCTCTCATAAAAACACAAGTCGACACAAATTCACTGGCACAGGTACACACAACACACACACGTACACACAAAACACACACGAACACACAAAACACACAGGAACACACAAAACACACACGAACACACAAAATACACACGTACACACAAAACGCACACGTACACACAAAATATACACGTACACACTAAATACACACGTACACATAAAATACACACGTACACACAAAACACACACGTACACACAAAATACACACGAACAAACAAAATACACACGTACACACAAAATGCACACGTACACACAAAATGCACATGTACACACAAAATGCACACATACACACAAAATACACACGTACACACAAAATGCACATGTACACACAAAACACACACGTACACACAAAATACACACGTACACACAAAACGCACACGTACACACAAAATACACACGTACACATAAAATACACACGTACACACAAAACGCACACGTACACACAAAATACACACGTACAAACAAAATACACACGTACACCTAAAGTGCACATGTAGCCATACTTCTGTCTCCATCCATATCTCTGTTCTGGGTTCTTTATGTTTTTGGATTGACAAAGGTCTAACTTATTATCTAGCAGTTAAATATTTAATATCAATCCATTTCTCTTTTGACTTGTCACATTCTTGTTTAAGTTCTGTCATAATTGTGTGGTGGTCTTACATGGGCAGTGGTGGCATAACCATAGAGGCAAATACTTATGTTTCATTCACATCTGTTAAGGTATAGTTGATCAAACCATTTCCTAGTGGCAGTGGAGTACATAAACCCACCCAGAGAGGCAACCTTTGTCCCCGCCGTTAACATCGAACAGACACAAGCTTTTGCCGAGCCGGAACATTTGCTTCCCATTTTCACTGACATTAATGTCTCCCTTTGTGTAGTGGGTTGGGATTGATACCAGTTTCTGGCATTGTCTTGCATTTTAACGCTGACAGTTCTAGCGTTCACAGTGCATTTGGAAAGTGCTCAGATCCCAGCACTTTTATCCCTCTCGAACTCTCTGCCACATTTTACATGAAATTGTTCGACAGAGAGTTGAACAAACTGTCTGTAATTACAGGGACATTGTGTTACTGGGTCAGATTTTACCCCCCAGCGTTGCAGCAACATTTGAAGAGTAAATCCCCTGCATATTCAAACAACATGTACAAGAGGACTGCAATGGCTATTGAGAGTGGTTGGTGGGACATTTTTGTATAAATCTGAGGAATGCATTGTGTTGTCCTGCCGGAAGATTGAACAATTGATGTTGGCCTCCGTGCAGAGGCACACAGTTGACCATATTCTGGATATATGAGAGTCTACAAAGCCATCTATCCTATAAAGGTTCCTAAAGGCAATTGCGCTTCTTAATTGGGTAATCATTGCTATTTTTACATTGATCTCATGCACCTCATTAACCGGGTTAACTATAATTGTGCATTTTATAAGCATTTTTTTTATTAGATATTTTATACCATACCTAAGTATGTCTTGTTTAATCATTAGTAATGTGTGCAGGTTATTTTTCAAACCTGTTGCATGTAAACAATTGCCTTGTGCAGGGCAGGCTGCTGGCACAGGTGTAACGCACATTGAGTTCCTGCCTCTAGAGTACCTGACTAGAGATCGGACGGCTCATCTCACGGATGGGTTCGTTTCACAGTTGAGCGGTTACCAGCCACGGTTCGGTATGTTACCGTTAATAGGCCTATTTAACAACAATCCAGTTTCAATGTTGCGCGCTTTCATGCCATCAATCCAGTCCTTGCACAGACCCTTGATCCCAGAAGGGTCATCGATATATTTGAGTGGACTAAAGTTTGGAACCCGCAGGCTAAACATTTTAACCGGGGCAACTAAAATAGTTCTCAGAGATGTTAATCAGCTATACTTACTGATCTGCTCATTTAATTGATGTTACGCGATGTATTGTACGGTTTATAGTTTTTAATGAAAGAGTTTTGCTATACGTTCATGTGCGTTGTCGATTAAATTAGATGAAAGTTGATCCAATCGCATTCAAATTTAACTGTCCTCACCACCAATTGGAAACGCAGTTTCAATATGTTTTAAAACCGGACTGATATCCGTGTTGCGTTAATATATAAGATCGCCGGAACAACTATAGCCTATACAAGTATAATTGATATGCTACTGTTATACTATAATTATCATACCTCCCTGACTTCTGTTCTAGAACTCTACTGGTAAGTAAGATAGTTAGCTGTAGCACTGTAGCAGTTTTGCTATTAGAGAAGACAAAAGCCCCCTAGCCACCAGACACACTGGCTTGCTGCACAAGAAATCAGTGAAATAAATGTTAGAATAGAAGAATGTGGAGGCTGTGCTGAAAGTGAACACGCTGCAAAATGACTAAACAATTTTCACGTGACACTACGATAAGCCAGTCAATGAAACACTGAAGAAAAAGTGAGACTGGAATCTTCAATGTTGTTGTGCATGTCACCTTTGTAGCACCTGAAGAGTGGTTCAGGTAAGGAATGTAAGTGATACGTTTTGAATGCATATCAACTATACAAGCAAAGGGTGCAATCGCCAAAACATCAACTAGTGTGTCAAAAATGCCAGAGCCAGCCATGTTGTAGATAAAAACAAATAGTTAGAAGGCTGTAACCTAATTTGCCCTTAAGCAGTGCAGCACTTCTCCTTGGGACTCTATAATGTTGTTCCGTTTCAATGTCTGTGTAAAGTTGCTGGATATTGGCTGCTACTGGAACACTGTCAAACATGTCACTCCAGAGCATCCCAAAAATGAGCCACTCTGTTACAATATGGAGATCGGCACAGCACTCACTAAAGACACCCTGTCTGCCTTCAGCCTTGTACAGCTGGCACATTCATCTGTAAACAGCATGCAGTTCCAGCATGATAGTGGTCGTCCCAGGTAAGCATTTTCCCACTGTGCAACGCTTTGCAAGTCTGTGCAAGGTTGTGCAACGCTGTGCAATGCTGTGCAACGCTGCAGCTTGAAGATGGATTGTGCTGCCATGGTTACAGATGGTCTGTTGTTGTGAGGCCGGTTGCTCGTACATCCTAATTCTCTGAACGGAGACGGCTTATGATGGAGAAGTGAACATTAAGTTCTCTGGCAACAGCTCTAGTGTACGTTGATGCAGTCGGCATGACAACTGCACCCTCCTTCACGATATCAGATACATTTGAATCCTGTCTACAGCATTTTGTGTAATGGCCATGCTTTGTTTTCAGCTTATTCACATTTCAGGTGGGTGAATTCCCCGGAAAAATACGAAATGCTCACTAACAGAGAGAGCATTTGAGAGAAATTAGCTGCTGGTGCACATATTCAGCATGTTAAACATTTGACAAGTTGCGTTTATATTTTTGTTCTGTTTGAATAAAAAAATTACAATGTTTTTAGTATTCTGCTGGTCACAAATACAATATTTTGATTACAAATGCTTTCTGGGTCTATATAACCTAAGGCAAATATTGCATCTAATTTTGTGGGCTGTGTGCAGATTGTCTGTCTTCTTTCACAAGCCAAGTCTGCCTGCCTATGACAGCCTTTCAGAAAAACAAGGTCATGCTTTTTGAAAACAGTACATGAGGTTTTTGCTAATTTTGGTCTTGATAGTCTGCAACTGTTTGTCTAGTCTTTGAAGCAAGGTAGTATTCCAATTTGCTCCTGATTTTTTGGTTGATTCTTTCCAGTGTGTCAAAGAGTTCTCTATTTGTTTTCTCATGATTCTGAGGGTTCTATTTCTCCCAGGGTGCTCTGGGTTCTGTTTGGATTTGTGAATGGAGAACAAAAGCCTCGGAGGCTTTTCACAAGGAGGTTAATCGCTTTTTAGTTTCAGACATTGTTATGAAAGGTTTGAGAGTATTTGTTTTGCGTGTGCGTAACATTTTATGTGCGTAACATTTTATTGTAATTCTACTATAAATGTGCACTACCGTTCAAAAGTTTAGAGTTACTAAGAAACGCTGTGTAGCTCAGTGGTAGAGTGCATGCTTTGTATGTATGCTGTCCTGGGATCATTCCCCAACTTCTCCCCCGGTCGCTGTTGCAAATGAGAATTTGTTCTCAAACGGCCTACCTGGTTAAATAAAGGTTAAATAAAAACAATAATAAAATGAGGAGCGCAACTGAGCAAGAGGTGAAATACAGTGTCTAGTTTGAGGGTCAGATGCCGCACGTGCCTGAAGCAAGCAGCTTCATAAAATTGTGCCTGTAAAAAAGACCAGTCTCAATGTCAACAGCGTAGACGCAAATCTGGGATGCTGGCCTTCTTGGCCGAGTTGCAGAAAAACCCATATCTGATTGGCCAATAATATGGAGTCACTGGATCTCAAACCTGTTGAGCTGTTGTAGGAACAGCTTGACAGTATAGTATTAGGTGCTTTGATAGACCCATATTGGCTCACCTTAAGTCCTGCCTCCCTCCAACTTTGAACCCACATCAGTTTGCCAATCGCCCTAACAAGTCTACTGAGGGCACGATTTCCACTACTGTCCACTCTGCCCTGACCCACCTGGACAAAACCAACACCTTTGTGAGGATGTTGTTCATAGACTTCCGCTCAGCATTCAATACAGTCATCCCCTCCAGGCTGGTTCCCAAACTCCAAAACCTTGGGATCAGCCCCTCTCTTTTCAACTGGACGCTAGACTTCCCAACCAACAGTCCTCAGTCTGTCAGGTTGGACAACCTCGCCTCCTCCATCCACCCTGACCCTAAACACAGGTGTCCCACAGGGCTGTGTGCTTAGCCCACTGTTGCACTCCCTCTTCACCCGCGACTCCGTACCTCTACACAGCTCAAATACCATCGTCAAGTTTGCAGATGACACCACAGTAGTTGGTCTGATCAGGGACACCGACGAGGCAGGGGCTACTTGATCTGCATTTGCACATATATCCTGTGGTACTCCTCTTGCTACCTCATGCCCTGTACACTGCTAGCCTATTTATTATTATTTGCCTTTTGCACAATACTTATCGTTTGTGCTATCCGTTTATCACTTGCGCAGGTGTTCTCTGCTGGTGTTGCCCTCTGCACATTTGCAATTTGCTACATTGTTAAACTGAATAACTGCACATTTACTTATCCGTGTCAATTGCGCATCCTTACACGGTATCTTTTTGCACTGCTTTTTTGCACTTCTGGTTGGAGGCAACCTGCATTTTGTTGTATTGTACTTGTACTGTCCAATGACAAGAAAGTTGAATCTGATCGAAACCAAAAATTGACGGCCAAGCTAATCCAATTTGGGCGAGGAGCTTCAGGAAGCATGGGGTAAAATCTCTTCAGATTGTCTCAACTGATTGACAACTAGAATGCCAAAGGTGAGTGGACCCAGATCTCACATCCATGAAGTCCAATGTGCTTTATAAATCAGTTTTGAGTTTGAGCCGTGTCCTGAAAGGAGTGTGTACTGTTCTGTTCTTTTCAATTGCATCGAAGGTCCTTCTTGGTGTGTCTCACAGGTCTTTCAGAGCCTCGTTGAAGTTCCATGAGGTGTGCATGTTTCGGCCAAGCTAGGTGTCATTATTTGTTTGCTCTCAGGCCACAGTGTCTAGGAAAAATGTCTGCCTCTCGTTCCGTCTTTTTCCCCGAGGCTAGCTCTCCGAGATGAGTAACTCTATCTCTGCAGGGGCTCACCAGATGTTCAACTCTGTGTAACCCGTGACGGCTCCTTAAACCTGTCTGCGGCGTCTCTCCCCTGCCTGTTCCTCTGTCTCCCAACTGGCACTGTCACCTCACCGTGTCAGCGGGGGTGAACCCGGGTACCTCTGGATCGGTTCTCAGCCTCCACATACCACCTATATACCCCTTTCTTCGTTCGCACGCGTTGTCACGTTGGGACGAAAATGGAAGAGTTCTGCTATTTTCAAACGTACATGTTGCTTATGAGCGTGGCAGCGCTACGTTCAGATTACAACCAAGCAATATCCAAAGGGATGTTCTCATGCCCAAATGTAGGGAACTATTTTGCATGTTGGCCTTATAGCACAAATGTCCACGATGCCTTATTGCATCCATTAACATCTTACAGTACAGTTACCATGCTGTTGAATGGGCACAGACTCAGAAGAGGTCAGTCGGTGTGTTCATTTATAGCCAGTCAGCAGTTCTATTCCCCCGCCAGTCATCCCCGTTGATATGCATAGTGGCCTCGAGCTACAGGGCAGGTAAGACCCTGCTGTAAATCCTGTCAAGGAGGAAGCGATCCGTCAATACAATGCTCTGGGGCAGCGGTGAACTGTGACAAATATCGGTGCTGAAATGAGATGAAACCACTGCCATTTGTGTTCAGTGAGCCGACAGTTTGCGCTGGCCATTGGTGGTGGAGGAGAACTTTCTTTAAGGTCCAGTGTAATTGATTTGGTTTTTTTATTTATTTAATGCTCAGGTGTTTTAGGAAAAGCTGGAAACACGTGACCCACTGGAGTGACAAATACATAGAGCGATAGGAGCATAGACTAACAGACCCACAGACAGACCCACAGACAGACCCACAGACAGACCCACAGACAGACCCACAGACAGACCCACAGACAGACCCACAGACAGACCCACAGACTGACCCACAGACAGACCCACAGACTGACCCACAGACTGACCCACAGACAGACCCAATGACAGACAGACCAACAGACTGACAGACGACTTACAGACAGACAGACCAACAGGCTGACAGACAGAAGACTGATAGACGACTGACAGACCAAGTGCTGACAGACTGACAGACGACTTACAGACAGAAAGACAGACATACCAACAGGCTGACAGACAGCTCAACAGACTTAAGACTGACAGACTGACAGACGACTTACAGACAGACAGACAGCTCATCTCAGCTGATCCATCATGGTAACACTAACAGGGTGATCAGGTGATCACATCCAGGCCTGCTGATTGGTGTGTGTGATGAATGATTGAGAGGATCCCCCGGTCCGAGCCGGTGAGCTGCAGGCTCCACATGTGTAACCAGAGTCCATCCAACACAACACGCTGCTCTGTTCAAAGGCCTGTTTGTGTTATTACAGCTTGTCCAGCTGCTCAGAACCGACAAACAAGACTTACTGCTCGGAGCAGCAAAACACAGACCCCCGCCCCAGCACCTAACCCCCTAACCTAAACCCCTAACCCAATACCAGTTACACTTACCCAAAACCTGCTACCCTGACCGAAACCCCTAACCTAAACCCCTAACCTAAAACCCTAACCTAAACCCCTAACCTAAAACCCTAACCTAATACCCGTTACACTTACCCAAAACCCGCTACTCTAACCTAAATCCCTAACCCAAAACCCGTTACCCTAACCCAAAACCCTTGGCGAGAGACAAATCAACACACTGCGAGTCAAGTGCCACTCTTATGAACAGGCAATTTCTGGTTGGTGTACGAAGGGCTTGCAGCCGCAGTAGCAAGAGAGAGAGGGTGAGGGACACGCACATTGTCACACAGGACACACACATCGTCACACAGGACACACACATTGTCACACAGGACACACACATTGTCACACAGGACACACACATCGTCACACAGGACACACACACATCGTCACACAGGACACACACATCGTCACACAGGACACACACATTGTCACACAGGACACGCACATCGTCACACAGGACACACACATCGTCACACAGGACACACACATCGTCACACAGGACACACACATCGTCACACAGGACACACACATCGTCACAAAAGACACACACATCGTCACACAGGACACACACATCGTCACACAGGACACACACACAACGTCACACAGGACACACACATCGTCACACAGGACACACACACACGCACACAGGACACACACATCGTCACACAGGACACACACATCGTCACACAGGACACACACATCGTCACACAGGACACACACATCGTCACACAGGACACACACACCGTCACACAGGACACACACATCGTCACACAGGACACACACACCGTCACACAGGACACACACATCGTCACACAGGACACACACACACGCACACTTCTGCCTACGAGTTTTGACTCTGTCGGATTTGTCAAAATGGCTGTTTCAAATGTGGTGATTAAGATCTAGGCGAACTCCCTTTCCCTCTGTCCTGTTCTCCTCCCTTCGTCGTTCTGCTCTCTCCCTTTCTTGGTCCCTGTGTGCCTGTATGTAACATCAGTAAAGCTGTCAGACGACCCAGCCAAGGTAAACAGCTCAGTGCTAGGTTCAGGGGTGATGGGGGCCGATATGTTTTTCCTTAGGAACCCAGGGACCTCTGGGGGCTCCTGGCTGGGGCCGGGTTGGGGGCGTGGGGGGTGGCGGGGGGGTTGAGACGATCCCCTCAATTGCCCCCACGCTAACACACTAGCCAGTCTCTCTCCAGATCTGCATCTGTGTACACAAACCCTCTCAACAGGATTCGGTTCACACGTACACACACACACACACACACACACTCACTCACTCATTCACTTACAGGCCTTTCTCCCTAAATCAGCCGTGTGTCAACACAAAAGGCCAACACAGAACCACACACATGCACAGGCACGTTCCTCGTGTGTCCTGTATACCAACAGAAATGTAGTGGACTGTTATGTTATAATGACATAATGTTATAATGTTATATCGGTGCATGAGCCTTTTGCGTTCTTCTGTCAAATGTCTGTGTGTGGCAAAGTGTGTCCGCAGCTCCTCTGCACGAGCAACGATGGCGAGAAAGATAAAGAGAGCAAGAAATAGGGGGGAGAGACCGGGAGGAGAGGAGCTGTGATATCACTCACCCAGGAGTGACTCGTCTCCAGCGTTCATAAGCAGCTCCCACAGAGAGGGGGGAGAGGGGGGAGAGACATGGAGAGCGTCCAGGAGCTGCAAATCAGAGAAAACGGCACTAAAACTGAAGAACACAGATAGAGGGAGGGTGAGACTGAATGACAAAGAGAGAGAAGAGCGCAGGAGCGAGAGAGGGGAAAGAGTGAATTTGGAGGAGGTGGGACTATCGGCGGTAATGCCAAGAAAAGCATGCAGTATTGAATTGGGGTCGAGCGAGTGG